GCTGCTCCAGGCTGGTCTGCTAGTCCTTTCAAGTTGGAATGTCCCTCCTCAGAAGGCTCTGGATGGGGCTCAGGATTCCACCTAAGGTCCTATACACTACAAAGCCTCTGCAGGAAGCCTATTTCACTGGGCAAGTTCTAGAACCCCTTGTAGGCATTCCAATGAGTTATAGGCTGAAAATGGGCTTACAAGCTTTCTATAATCATGTTTACCAATATTCCTTTCTATCCCATGCAAGTGTGAAGACATTAAGTTTTGAGGTTGTTTGTTATGCTAAAATAGGTAACAGATTGAAAAACAAAAGCAAAAAACGTTTTCAACCCATCAGCATTGACTCAGTTCTGATTCATGGCTACCCACGTGTTACAGAATGAAACCGAACTCCATCGTATTTTATTAACTGTGATCTTTCTGGGACCAGATCACTAGACCTTTCATCCATGGTACCATTGGATGGGTTTGAACCACCAATCTTTTGGTTAGTAACAGAATGCAAACAGTTTACACCACTCAGGGACCTTAGATAACAAATAAAACTCTATTAAAAACCATGCATTAAAAAGCAAACAATCAATAAGGCAGTGAGCAATACAGTTGACAATCAAGAAATATGGGAAAACAGTGTTTTAATGTGACAGAGGCTTAGAGAATGGAAATGAAAATTTTGGCTCAAGAATTAATGGCTTATCATATTATTATTTAAAGATTCTCATATTTCTCAACATTTTCTCAGCTAAGCCTAAAAGGGAAATTCATTATTAGAACTTTAAAAAAATATATTATACTTACATTCATTCATATGTGTATGTTAATCAAATGAGGGAATAGTAAATATTAACTTACCATGGTCTTAGTGCAGTATCCTGAGACAACTACGTTGTTAAATATTTTTGTCTCTTGTAATAGTTTTGGGCCATAGGATTCCAAAATAATGTGTAGACCAATATTTTCCGGATAGATAATTTGAGCCCAAAATGACAGGTTGCTTCTTTTGTCAAAAATGTAATAAGAATATCCAATATTATTTTTAAATGAGATATAAGGGCATATTTCTTTTTCTTTGTAAACTGTGCTTTGTACTTCTAATTTTAAGGGGTATTGCTGTTGTTTCAATGTACCATTTTCATAACAGTATATGAAATATAATTGACCACTTATATCCAAGGCACTGATTGATTTCATTGTTGTATCTGTCCATGAATTTAGCTGTACTACATTTCCAATATAAACTTTAGTATGAAACATTAAGTTATTTTCCATCTTAATTAAAATATTGCCAAAATAATCTGGGAAAAAAGAGAGAAAAGTTTGTGTTATAGTAAGTAACCATAAGTCTATGTTATTTCATTTAAGTATACTTTAATCAAAATAATTTCTTTTATAATGATTGTTTATTTGAGAGAGCTTCAAAAAATTTGTAGAAAAATTCCATTATGTTATAACTCCATTTTCCCATAAATTTTCTGAAGCTCCCTTGTATACATTGAGAAAATTAAACTACGTAGGAACTAATGCCTAACTTTGCACTGTATTAAAGAACTTCTCTCCCACTTCAGAGTAGAGAAGTTCTCTTTTTGGATATTCCCCTCCCCTTATTCTTACTACATCATATTTCTGTACATCTTTTATGTAGAACAGATTTGGAATTTGTGTATAACATAATAATGGTAATGATCATGACAAGAATGGTTTTACCAGGTAGCACTAGGATGAAAAAATGGGTTAGTTATAAACAATTACCTGCCTCTTCAGGTTCATTCATTGTGTTGTTGTTGTTGTTGTTGTTGTTAAATGCCAACAAGTTGGTTCCAATTCATAGCCACCTTTTATAGAGATTCCAAGGAGCAGCTGGTGGGTTTGAACCACCAACCTTGCAGTTAGCAGTCCAGTGCATATCCTACAGCACCAAATGATGACTGTTGATGTTAAGTGCCATTAAGTCCATTCTAACTCATAATAAAAGAAGGAAGCACTGCCTGGTCCTATGCCATCTATACAATTGTTCCTATGTTTGAGTTCAATATTGTAGCCACACTGTCAATTCATCTTGTTGATGGTGTTAGTCCCTCCTGATAATATGTTCAAAGTTTATGAGACAAAGTCTTGCCATCCTTGCTCCTAAGAAGCATTCTTGCGGTGTCTCTTCCAACCAGATTTGCTCTTCTGGCAGTCCATGGTACATTTAAAATAATATACCAACACCATAATTCAAAGTCATCCTTGGTCCATTCTTGTTCATGTCCAGCTCTTGCATGCATATTTGGCAATTGAAAATACCAAGGACTGGGTCAGGCATATCTTAGACTTCTAAGTGATATTTTTGCCTTTAAAAAAAA